AGCCGCCTGCCCAAACAGCCAACCCGCGTAGCTGCTGCCTGTGCCGGGAGTCGGGTGCGAGGTGGCATCAGTTGAGCAGCTGGCAGACGCCCTTGTGCAGGCAGCACAGGAAGTCCATGTAGGACGGGCCTCCATCCAGCCCCTTGTCCTCCACCAGCAGCTGCCGGAATGCCATCTCCGGCTGCTCCCGCTGCTTCACGATCACCAGCTAGGAGACAGCACAGGCAGCGGTTACACACGCTCTGGGCTCCGTTTCGTATGTTCCCACGTCACCCACCCACCCACTGCGAGGCCTGGGGGACGTGGAAGTGCCGTGTCCGACCAGGCGGGAAGCACCAGTGGAGGGCGGAGGGCCCAGCTTCCTGCGGCCCGGCCTGCAGTCCCGCACCCCCAGCCAAGGCGGGAAGGGACGCCCCCTTTGGCCAGGAGGGCCCGGCGCCCCCACGCTGCCTCCTCGGCCTCCAGTCGTCCAGCAGGACAATTCGGTCAACACCGCTTGCTCGTTCCTGTTACCTGGCCGGGGCCCTGGCCTGTGAAAATGCTAATCCAACAGCAGCTGCTGCTGCTGCGTCAAGTCAGCAGGTCTGTGGGCAAGGACATGGAAGTGCCCGGTCCCCGTGTGGGCCGGGCTGGGAGGCGACCCACAGCAGCGTGGAGCCCTGCGTCCTGGCGAGCCTGCAGCCAAGGCTCTTGTCTCACTTGGTTTGTGTCTACCTTCCCCCATGTGCCCAGGACTCAGCTGCGTCCACGACAGGTGGCGGCATGAGTCTGGCCCCCGTGCCACTGGCCAGGCAGAGCCGGGCAGGGAGACCTGGGGCGGAGGACGGGAGGCTCCAGGTCTAGGACCTCATTGCCCGGGGGACCTGGAGAGTCCGTGCTGCTCCCTTTGGGCATCGGCTCTCCAGGCCCAGGACCTCCTGGGAGGCTGGCAGGTGAGGGAGCCCCTTCACGCTCACCTTCACCTCTGCGCCGGGGGCTGAGGGGGGCTCTGTGCGTGGAGAGGGGCTGAGGGGGGCTCTGTGCGTGGAGGGGGCTGAGGGGGCTCTGTGCATGGAGGGGGCTGAGGGGGGCTCTGTGCGTGGAGGGGGCTGTGGGGGGCTCTGTGCATGGAGGGGGCTGAGGGGGGCTCTCCCTCACTCTGCAGCCCTAGATTTTCAAGGTCTCTGTACAGACAGGGCCCAGAACGGCCTGAGGAACCTCACAAACAGGTGCATTTGCGAGGGGCATATGGGAATGGCGGCTTCTTTAAGTGCTCGGGCTACAATTATCTCATCCTGCAGCTGCTTAGACTCTGCTCACACGTCACCTTCACCCGGATGTCTTACAGCCAAAGCTGGCGTGGCTCCCTCAGGGTGGAGCAGTGGGAGGAGCAGAGGAGGCGCTTCCCCAGGCCCAGGGCTCTGCAGTGATGGAGGCCGCTTCTCTGGGGAGCGGCAGTGCAGCTGGGACGGGGGCGTCACTGCTGTGCACTCTGACCCCAGCACCTCCCACTGTGTCAGGAGACCCCCCTTTGTCTACATCCCCAGGGGGTCAGTGTCCTGGCAGCAGCGTCTCAGGGTGGGGCTCCCCTGCCATCACTAGGTCTTGTCCTGAAACGGCACCCAAGCAGGCGCCGTGTGGAGTGAATCTGTTCTGGAAGGTTCTGTGTTCACCTGGCAGCTCTCCATGAGTTCACCGGCCTCCGGAAGCCGATGTCTGCCCGAGGGCACCTGGCTCAGCGCAGGGGCTGCTTGGACTGGCACCCACATCAGGGACGCTGCCTGCAGTGCGGGGCCGGGGAGGGGGCTGCCGCCAGGTGAGCGTCCTGTCCCGCGGGACTGGCCCTCTCCGAACCCCAGGAGGGGCCCTGGGCTGGGGGAAGCCAGGTGGGGCTGGCCCCAGCAGCAGGCCAAGCTCCCTGAATCAGAGGCCTCTGCAGCCCTTTCACTCAATCTCAAAAAAGGCCCGAAAGGGGCTTCGAAGGGCCAGACACTTCGCAGGCGTCATAAACCTGAGGTCGTAAGGAAACTGCCTGTGTTCTGCACGAGGCTGAGTCAGCAGCCTCCGCTGACGGAAAGGCATTTCAGACTCTGACCAACCGCCCAGGCCGCGCAGGGCTTCCTGGGGACGGGGCGGGACGCCCACACAGGGCTGCCGGGCAGTGGCCGTTCACTCACGTATGTGTGGCTGGTGAGCAGGTAGACATCCTTAGAGGTGTGTGAGCTTCCTATCCCATAACAACTAGGAAATGCATTTAAAAAGTCTGTAATGAAATTCAGAAACTGAAGGAAGGAGGAGAGGAATCCGATTGCCTCACCTTCATTGAGTAGGGCCGCTTACGCTGGAGAGCACCCACGATCGCCCGCAGCGTCTGGGAATGCGGGCTTCCCACCTCGGGCAGGACCGTCTAGGATTAAGAACATCAAGCAGACACATTAGTGTAATTTGTAACATCTGTGTGGAAGCAGCAATGAGAGTATTAGAATACTGAAGTTAAAAACATCCTTCTAAACCATGTATTTCACTATTGACTAGTTCATTTACCCAAACATCACAAATGTGAAACAACGCATTGAACAGTGCCTCATCCTGCGGGCACGCGGGCCAGTGGGCTCTGGTCTGCCCAGGCCTCCTGACCACCCAGCGGGCTCTGCTCTGCTCTGTCCTCCTGACCACCCAGCGGGCTCTGCCCGGGCCTCCTCATCACCCAGCGGGCTGTTTATGAAGAGGGCGTCCTCGGGCACCTAGCCGGGTGTGCGATCCCTGCGCGAGGCATGTTTCCAGGCCGCATCGTGCGTGCTCAGCGGCAGGACCCTGTGGCACCCCGAGGCCTGGAAACCGCCATGAGTACCACTGCTGCACATTAGGCCCGAGGAATCAGGAAACACTGATTCCTCGGGGAAGTGTGGCCCCCAGAGTCCCCTACATCTGGCTAACGGTCCACAGAACGCACAGCCGTGGGGACGTGAGCTCTGCCCAGTAAGACAGTAAACGCTGCCTGCTTCTCAGAGAGCCCCCGAGCGGCATGCCACCCAGTGAGCTGGCACTGAGCCCCAACACTGTGCGGAGTCACACATCCCAGCAGCCCCTCGGCCGTTCCCACAGGATGTGAAACAGCAGAACTCGATAGGCAGTCACAGGCCCCTCCCACGTGTATTCACCGATGTTAAGGTGAGGCTTTATTCAACAGGTTACACGTGGTGAGTGCCCCCGCATGCATGGCTCAAGGTGCCAGCTGCCTCTACAGAGAGAGCGACAGGCGGCGCTGTGTGCATTCCTGACGAGGCTGAGGAGGCGGTGGAGGGAGCAGGCCCGCCAGCCACTGCGCTCTGTGGAGGCTGGCGACTCACCGACTCACCCGCATGCTCCAGCAGAGCAGCACTGACAGCTAATGCGTCAGCGCACTGGCCAGTTGCTCAGTGGACAGAGCGCTCAGTGGATAGAGAGCGGCGTCCCAGACCAAAGGGTCCCGGGTTCGATTCCGCTCAAGGGCACGTACCTTGTTGCAGGCTCTTCCCCCTCGGGCCCTGGTTGGGGCCATGCAGGAGGCAAACAATCAAACACATTGATGTTTCTCTGTCTTTCCCTCTCTCTTCCACTCTCTCTAAAAATCAATGGAAAAACATCCTCGGGTGAGGATTGAAATAAATAAAGACTTAAAAAAAAGTAGAGGCACTTCCTCTGTCTCATAGATATATCCTCGAGATTCATAGAGCTGTCTGCCTCCTGAATTTTTATTTTTATTAATTGCACTTTTCTTTTGAAATTGCATTTCTAATCATTCCTTAATTTCACCCCATGCAGATGTCTTACCATTTCTAAGTCTTCACCCTCATCTTAAGACCAGCCTCTGGATGGGATGCGGCCCCTTTAACGCCTGAAAGCCATGCTGACTCCTCCTCCCATCCTG